AATAATAATAAGCAGACTTTTTTTCTTTTTTTTCTTCCCCGAATGCAAAGTAAATAAATATTTCATAACTGATCTCTCAGGTAGAGTGTTCAAGCTTGTGTGAAGACACAGAACACGTCTGCAACAAACAAACTGGAGTGGGGAGATGATTCTAGAAACCTGTGTCTTTCTTCCTAGACATAATGAATTAATCAAGAGCAAAGACCTTTCATGTGTGTATTAGCCCCATATTAGTAACCTTAGCTTCCTGCATCTGTTAGAGGAGCCTTTTGAGCGCTTGCCTGTTTCCTGCCACAAGGCAAGGGTAACAGAGAAAGAATTTCCAGGAGATGCACACAACCCATGGAAGCAGAGTGGCTGCAGATGCCTACAGGAGCCGTGATTTTGCAAACCTGCAAACTCTGAACTTTATGCATATTAGTATTCCTCTGGATTGCATAAATATGTGCAATTGCAGAGGCAGAGCTTTAGCTGGCATAAGTGCTTGTGATTTAATTGATCGTTCAGAGTGGAGGAAAACCTTTATGCTATTTGGTAACAGACTATGGGGGGATGGATAATTCCTCATCAGTCACTATGAAACTGATTGAATCCACTGACAGTCTGAATTTCTCCACATCTCCCCCTCTTTTGCTCTGCCCATTTTCAGGCTCTCAGCTAATTTGATCTTTCAGCAGAGATAAACATTTCATTCTCACGTTCATGATACCTGTTTATTTTTGAAGTGTTGTTAACATAGTTTTTGCTGTCTCTTGCTGTCTTGCCCTGCTTAATTGACGTAAAAAATAGCTGTCTAAAATGTTCTTCCTTGAGAGAAGTTGCTAATATTTCCCCAGAGACCTTATCCTTGTGTCTGTCTTCAGTCAGTTCTGCTCAATTTTGTAAGAAAAATCTAGCACTGCTTGTTCAGCGTGTGTTTATTTTCTCTTGTAACCATTGCAAACTAATGTACCCTGGGAAAAGGAGTTGGATTCTTCTCATTTGCAAATACCATTAACAGAATTGTGGACCGAATTCCATACGCAGCTCCAAATTACACACTCAATTAGGGCCTGATCCAATGCTTATTAAAGTCACTGGAAAAATTCCCCCTGATTTTAATGGACTGTAGCTCAGACCTTGGGGAACGGACATTTCCACTGCAGATGATCAGTTTAATCTTTGAGCATGCTGGAATTTACACAGTGATAGACTCATAGGGCTGGAAAGGACTTCAGAGGTCATATCTCAAGGCAGGATCAGCTAAATTTATGTCTCCCAGCAGCTGTCTAACCTGTTCTTAAAGGTCAGTGACTGGGACTCCATGGATTGCGCTGCCAGGCAATCCTTTTCATTAATTATCCTTACTCTTAAGAAGTTCTTCATATCTGCTCTAAATCAGTTCTTGGACCGATCTACACCTGTTCCTTCCTGTCCTATTAAAAGTAAACGAGAGCAGACTATTTTCTTTCTCTTTGCAATAGTTTTTAATGTATTTGAAGACTACTGCTGAACACGTGAGTCAATCTTGTCATCCTTAGGCTAAACAACCTCGGTATTTCAATCTGTTCTCATGTTTCATTCTGTCTGTTTTCTGGATCTTAGTCATTACAGGTCCTCTCTTCTGGACTCCCTTCAATGATCCCACACCTTTCCTGAAGGATAGTGCCCAAAACCGGTCACAGCACTTCAGTGCAGGTCTTACCAGCGCTTAGTAGAGGGAAAGCACTTCACGTGTCATGCACGGTTTCAGTACAGCGCTTGTCTTTCACACATCAATATGACATTATTTGCTCCTATTTACCTTGTGACCCAATAGAACTCAACCTGGGCATAATTTGAAAATATAATTTGAGGGCTTCCTGGGACCGCTCGGGAGATGCTGAGGGCAGAATTAGCATTGCAGAGCTGCTATGTGTATTAATGGAGCAAATGAAAGGGGAAATCTGAAGCCCCATTGCCAGATGAGTTCTCCAAACTGAGACTGAGAAAGACCATGATGTTGTTTGCAAGAATGTCAAATTGGAAAGGAGATGACCACAGGGCACCATCACGCTGTTTCTGCAGAATTACTTCTCAGGTTAAGACTGCTATCTAAGACAGTTTTTCTTTTCTGGAGGTGAGTTTCAACTACATACTTATGTTTGTATACTTATGACGCATATCTGATTTTTTGCTACATTTTAGCAAAGAGTTTGTGCATTTTTAGAAATGCAACACCAGCAAACAACAACCAACACACACACACACATTCCATATTTTGTATATTGAATTGTCTCATTACATCCCTCATGAATGTATATGAACTCTTAAGAACCAATTCTTGAAAACAGTATTAAAAAATCCATTTCCTTAGTAACTTTGTCTTTTATCAAAGGACTAATGTCTTTCCACACATTTGAAATTGGGTCAGGCATCATTCAGTTCTTTAAATGCTACTTTAAACTACAAAGACAAGATACCATTTTTGTCTTGTTCCTACATAAGTTAATGGTCTAGGGCATTTTTGTGTTCAGCAGAACAGAATAGGCCCAAAATATGAAAAATACATCAAATTTTATGCTATAGCTATTTATGAGAATGCCATTTTGTATTATTGGCTCCTCTCTACTTGAATATTCAACACGCATCGTATGTTTTTATAACAATGTCACTAGGTAAAGAAATACACTGTAGTTGAACAAGCTTGAAGACCTTCAACTAAGATCTACCTTTCCAATCTGTGGCAACATTTCAATAATGCCATAAGTCTTCAATGATAGTGTGGACTGCAGTTTTACCTTTGATTTACAATATAACAAGTGGGCCTAAAATTGTATACAGAACTCACTAGCAGTCAAGTAAATGATGACTAGATCCTGCTGTATGAACAATTTTGTATTTCAGAAGACGAACAGCAGCACCAAAAGGCCAGGCATTTCCTTAAAGAGAAATTAAAACATACTCTTACCTTTATACCTTTGCATTTTGCAACATTCACTGACTTTGCGGTGCAGGACACATGAGACACTTCACTGAGCGAGATCTAGAATTTTCCCATTAACACAACAAGTAACGCGGCACTTGGTTGCTTTTTCTGACAGTCTTAATAATACCAAGAAATTGCAAAGAAGGTCATGATATTGTTTTATTGCAAGACATTTTCAAGTTCAGAATTGGAGGGACTGAATAAACTACCTGCATAATAAACCGTGGAAAACAGTATTATGAAACTGAACCTACTCTGCTACTTCTCAGGTACAGAGAGAGCTTGTTTAATATGTAATAGCAAATAGTTTTGAAAAATGTCAAACCGCCTCCAAACTGAGATTTTATTACAACAATACTGAACTCAGAGCATGACAAACATTAAGATCTACAAACACACAGGACAAATGTTGACCTCAGATTAAGCAAATGTTATCCTTTTGCAAGCAGTGATGAAGATACTAAAGACACTGCTGGAATGACATCATGCTCTCACTGAAATCAGTGAGAGAAGTTCTATTGACTGCAATAGATCCAAGATGTCATTCTTGAGCTGTGCTATGAGGTCTTAAAATGAAATTAATCAGATCTTGGAGAAGGCTGCCAGATACTGCTGATCAACAGCACAGGTGTTGTTTAGTATGAAAAATTATATCAGTCTGGATGAAATAAAAGCATTAGATAAGAAATGACACTAAACACAACAAAACAGATTAATGCATTATTAAGGTTCGCAGTGTGTTCAAACAACAACAAAGACTACACTAAAAAAACATGCTCATACATAATTACCATTAAGCCACCCACTCAGTGTTTATATACCAACTCTGCCATTACTATAACACAAAATGTGCAGGCTGAAGCTGGACAGGCAAGCACTGAGCTGTGCTGCCCGGGGAGGCTGTGAAATCTCTGTCCTCGGAGGTTTTAATGACCCCACAGGACAAAGCCCTGAGTGACCTGGCCTGAATTCAGCTTTGGCCCTGCTCTGAGTTGGAAATTGAACGGCGGCCCTCCTGGGGTCCCCTCCAGCCTCAGTGATGCTCCCTCTGTGAGCCACGGCTTGATGCTGTGCCCTGTCCCTCATTCCCTGCCTCTCCATATGCTGGTGATAGGGATCCTCCCCCAGCCCCTGCACATCCCCTGATGTCAGTTGTATCTATCGTGCAACCATGCCTAAGAAGGTGTTTGCACCGAAAACCACGCATGGAAAAACCTGTAAGACCTGTTGTCATATTAAGGAGAGATCTTAACTTCTGGTTCTCCTCAAATTTTCTTATACAGGGGATGCGTAAAAGAATTAGAAAATAGAGGTATTTCTGTCTTCTAAATCTGCATAGAGGAAGCTTCTTTTGAATTTGTACTCTTGACTGGGTTTTTTTAACCCCATTAAAAGGGGAAAAGACAGAACCTTTTGTGGCATTTACTATTTGGCAGCAGTTCCCCCTGTCTTGATTCTTTGCAAGCCAAGACCCAGTTCTTCTGGTACACAATCACCAGGTAATTCTGGAGCTGAATCACTGTTTCTGAGAAGTGTACCCTATGGCTTAATCTTTGGTGGATTCGTGAACAGAAACAAAGAGTGGAGGTAATAGAGTGTCCATGTTAACAGAAGAAGAAAAAAACATACCAGAACAGAAAAAACCCCTCTGTCTTCCAGTTTATCTTCCAGATCCCAAGGGTAAGAATGCATAAACAGACTGGAATGTTGGTTTTGCTAACAAAGCCCAGCAGACCACCAGACAATAACTTCAAATATTGCACTGTAAATAAAGGAGGTAAATGAAGATGCTGTTTCATGTGTTTCATAAAATAAGTCTGTAGCTGGAAAACTGCAGCCAGAGTAGTTGCAGACCTCTAATGACATTTTCACATATATGCCACGTAACTCCACCTATTGAAGCCAATTCCAATCAGGTAACACTGCTCTGAAGTACTTTTCTAGAGCACTCCTCACTTATTTCTTCTTCAGCCAGTGATGGTATTAAAAGTCACATGGGTGTTTGCTGTTGGCAAGGGAGGCATGGAGGAAAGTGCTAAAGTAGGCAGGTGTGATGGTGGCAGGCCTGGAGGAGGGGCTGGCAGCTGAAATGGAAGGTGAGGGCTCTGCTGGAGCCAAGGCAGAGCCTGAACCTAAATTATTCCTCCCCTGCCGAATGGCCTCAAAACCCTTCCTTTGTGGCTGGGGCTGAGGCATTCACCAAAGAAATGACGTGATCCACAAGTCTTACTATGATGAGGAGCTGCTTTTGAAGGTAAAGCATTTTAGTCATTTCAATGTATTTATTATCAGGACATATTTTTCAAATGGGTTATTATGGCCCTATATGTGTTCTCAGCATACCTACACCAGATTGCAAGACAGGGAAAAGTAAATGTGTTCATCTTTCTGACTTCATTTCTATCACCTGTACTCCAGCCCCCCACGAATACGAATTTACGTATCTTGCAGCCAGATGCTCCAGCAGTAGATTTAGGACACAGGAATCATCAAGGTTCAGACGGATTTGGCTATCTGTTTTTTCTTGTTTGTTTGTTACCGGTGTATTCAAATATCCCAAGATGCACCATCTGCTTGGAAGTATGCTATCAACGAAAAGGCCTGCAGTGAAAACACCGTGTCTGACAAAAGATGCAAGCGAGAAGGGTGGCAAATACGCCGTGTTCCTGCCTACTAATAAATAACGGCTCCTACCTCTCATTCAGCTTTTGCAGGGGCTCAATCTCTCCCAACACCGACTCCCTGGCAACACCCCGAAGCCTTCACCCGACGGGAGTTCTCCCACTCGAGGAGAGTTTTTGGCCGTTCTCCAGGCCTCTTTGAGAGCCGGGCCCCTCCACTCGGCTGCCCGGGAGCTGCTTTTAGGCCCGCCCGCAGCCGGAGCTGCCTCCCACCCCTCAAGCCTCTCCCGTGAGCGGCCCGGGCCCGGGCCAGAGCCGCAGGCGGCCCTGGCGAGCCTGAGACTATTCGCCCAGTTCGCCCCTCTCCCTCTCACCGCCCCGGCTCGCCCTCGTCCTCCAGCTCCGAGGGCAGGGCGGGCCCCGCGGGTGGCCAGGCCGGCGCTTCCTCACAGCCCCGTGAGCCCCGGG